TACATGCCGGCTTGCCCAAATCGCTATGGGCTGAAGCTATCAACACTGTAACTTACCTGATCAACCGTGGGCCCTCAGTTCCTTTGGATGACGGAATACCAGAGGAAGTTTGGAGTAGAAAAGAAATAAACCTTTCACACTTAAGATTGTTTGGTTGTATTTCTTATGTATACATAAACTCTGCTGAAAGAAGTAAACTTAATGCCAAGTCCAACAAATGCATCTTTGTTGGTTATGGTGAGTTCGGTTACCGGTTTTGGGACTACGAAAATCGGAAGATCATCAGAAGCAGAGATGTCATTTTCAATGAGAATGTGATGTACAAAGACATGTCAACCATAGAATCAAGTAGCTCCAATACCGAAGCTGAAACAAAGGAATTTGCTGAGTTCGAGGAGATTTCTGGAAATGATGTTCAGATCAGTCCTGAAGCAGTTCAAGAAAAACCAGACATACCAGAACTAAGACGCTCCTCCAGAATTCCTAAACAAACCCAGCGTTATTCGTCTTTTTTGCACTACTTGTTGCTGACTGAAAGTGGTGAACCAGAGTGCTATGATGAAGCAATGCAAGTGGAGGATTCAATCAAGTGGGAGTCTTCCATGAAAGATGAGATGGACTCGCTTATGTCAAATTAGACGTGAGAATTAGCTTAATTACCACCAGGCAAGAAAGCGCTCCATAACAAGTGGATTTACAGGATCAAAGAAGAGCACGATGGGAGCAAACACTACAAAGCAAGATTGATTGTCAAAGGTTTTCAGCAAAAAGAAGGTATTGATTACAATGAAATTTTCTCTTCAGTCGTAAAACTATCTACAATCATACTGGTATTGAAAATTGTAGCTGTAGAGAATTTACATCTTGAGCAGTTAGATATAAAGACAACTTTCCTTCATGGTGATTTGGAGGAAGAAATCTATATGATGCAGCCATAAGGCTTCATAGAGGCATGCAAAAAAAACCTAGTATGCAGGTTGAAGAAGAGCTTGTATGGTTTAAAACAAGCTCCTAGACAGTGGTACAAGAAGTTTGATAGCTTCATGAGTAGCAGTGGTTTTACTATATGCCAAGTAGATCATTGTTGCTACATCAAGAGGTTTGACAACAACTTCATTATTTTATTATTGTACGTTGATGACATGCTCGTTGCAGGCTCAGACATGCAAGAGATTATAAACTTGAAGCAAAAATTGTCGAAGCAGTTTGCTATAAAGGATTTGGGCGCTGCAAAACAGATTCTTGGGATAAGGATTAAGAGAGACAGAAAGTCGGGGACTTTGATGTTATCACAGTTTGAGTACATCAACAAAGTACTCTCCAGGTTCAACATGCAAGATGCTAAACTAGTAATTACACCTTTAGGTGTTCATTTTAGACTCTCCAAAGAACAATCACCAAAGATAGAGGAAGAACATGCACACATGATGAAGGTGTCGTATGCCTCAGCGATTAGAAGTCTCATGTATGCCATGGTTTGTACTAGACCAGATATTGCTCATGTAGTGGGAGCTGTTAGTAGGTACATGAATAATCCAGGTAAGGTACACTGGGAAGCAGTCAAATGGATCCTCAGATATCTGTGGGGTACCACAAATAAATCACTTTGTTTCAAAGGTGAAGATACGATACTGATAGGCTATGTAGATGTTGACTTAGCCGAAAATGTTGACATCAGAAGAAGCACTACAGGGTATGTCTATACTCTAGGAGGAACTGTGGTGAGTTAGGTTTCTCAACTACAGAAGATAGTTGCTCTCTCCACAACTAAAGCAGAATATGTCGCTGTTACGGAAGCCAACAAGGAGATGGTTTGGCTCCAAAGTTTCTTGGAATAGTTAGGCAATAAATAAGAAAGCAATTTCTTGTATTGCGACAGTCAAAGTGTTATCCATCTAGCAAAGAATCTGTCTTTTCATTCCAATACGATGCACATACAATTGCGATATCATTTTATCCGGTCTCTTCTGGAAGATGGGATTTTGAAACTTAAAAAGATTAGTGGAGCTCAAAATCCGACAGACATGTTGACAAAGACGGTGACTACGGACAAACTGAAGTTGTGTTCAACTTCAATTGGCATGCTAGAATAAAAGACCAGAAATGTTTTTGCATTGATCGAGGTGTGAAGACATATTAAAACCAGTCTTCAAGTGGGAGATTGTTGAAATGTCAAAGCAACCAGGCGGCTTGGGAAACAAATGGGGGCTGCTAATGGGTAATTTTTTATTGAAAATATAATAGGGTTAATTACATTTTAGTCCCTAGACACTTTAGTGTATTTAGAAGATTAGTCATTAAGCTTCAACTATAAATACGCTAGCTCATTTGGCTTCAAAATCATCCTAAATCATTTCTTTCTCTTCTAATACTAGAGAGTTTTCTTGTGAGTAGTGAGTGTTTTGTAAACACCTATAAATTTTCTCTCTTAGTAAAAGATCTGCAGCAGTCTGGAGACGTAGGCACAATTGGCTGAACTCTTTTATCAATTTCGGGTATTATTTTTCCACTTTTATTTCGCATTCTCACTAATCTGGTTATAGGAAAATTACTCGTTCTCGTTTTATTTCCCAACAGGACCCTTGTATGTTATCAGTGTTTGGTTAGTAACATTTTCATCGTTACCTTTAATATCGTTCGCCTTTCAAAAGTATCCGCATTGTGCCCATAAATTCCACACGAGTAACAGATGTTGTACAAGCCCTCATACTCGAGAAGTTGGAGAAATCCATCTATTCCAATACAAGATTTTAGGGGCTTATTTAAATCCACAATTATAGTTAAACGAGCAAATTTTCCTTTGCATCCCGCATGGGTGTTATAATCAAATTTCACGACTCTCCCTACCGCTCCAGCAATACGACAGAATAATGCTTTCGAGTAGTAACAGTACGACAATCCTGATAGTTTTACCCAACCAAGATTTGTGTCGGATTTTTTCGGATATCGAAAAACTTCTTCTCCAAAGTTGTACCATAAGATAACATCAATCTATTATCCACATACCTTCTGTAAGACCTTGACGTAATCAACATTGTTAGAAAATTTCACCAATTAATAATTATTCTCCAAATCCACTAATTGTAAATCTCCAACCGGCGCGGTACATAAGGGTCTTGTATCCAATAGTTATGTCCAATAAACTTATGATAAGCGTTTGTTTCATGCATTCGTCAATCTTACTATGCACTCTTTCCGAGAACCTAATGGTTGTAATTGGACCAGAATCATCAACAACACAATCTTTATCAGGAATTTCAACCTCATCTGTATCATTCAAAGAAAAGTTTCTTCTGCTCTCCTCTGTGTTTCCCGCTACCATGCATGAATAAGAAACTTTCCCTAGTTTCATGTCTTTCTTCACCTCCTTACCATCTCCCTTCACAACTTGTTCCATTCTTGTACCTGTTTTAACCTCCTCCACAACCATGGTTGTGTTATCATCTCCTAACTCCTGCACAAAATTATCCTCTTTGTTATGTGCTTTTTTGACTTACCGATTATCCATTAAAGGTGATCCCAGTCTGTCTAGTACTAGTAACGCCCCTATCATAACGATATCCTTCAGTGGCCTTCCCTTATGTATGTCTGGTACCTCCGAGTTGTGGCCCACATTAGGGTTTACAGTCGATAGTATGTTAGGGTTTTCAGATGGCAATATAAGAAAAAAAATTAGGTTTTTAATTTTACGTTATTTTAGCTTATCATTTATTTATTTGACTATTTTATGTTAGTTTACTATTTTTAATATTAAAAGTTTTTATACAAAAATTTAAATAACAATTCCCACTATAATATTTAAATATAAAGCTTAAAGGCTTTCACATTTGAACTCGCTATATATTTTGGGTGAACTACTAAAATGGGCCACTTTTTATTTTGTAAGTGCTTACTTTTTTATCATTGAAATGTAGAAATTAACATTTTAGTCAATTACATTGTTGATTTATAATGTGTTGATTACTGAAACTTTAAATGTAAATAATTTGGTGACTTGATATATTAATAAAAAGAGTTAATTTTTAATTTGACTCATAAAATTAAATAAAATATCAATTTGATTTTGAAATTTTTGATAAATCAATTTAATTATTGAATTTGATCAATATCTTTTATCGGCGGTTATCATAAATCACAATCATCTGTCATTGTCAATCACTATTGACCATCATTAACGATGACTATTGGATCTAAAATTTCTAATGTAATCTTTTTCCCAGTAAATTTTGTATAACTTGTTTTTTTTTTCTACCTTTCTTATTCTATCATATGATCAGGTTTGACGGTTGCTAATGCGATGCTAGTTCCATACCTTTTTTTATTGTCTTTTGATTTCCTAAGTTCTAGTAAACTCAATGAACAAAATCGGATAAAATACAAAGCTCGAGAGAAGACGCGGTCCTTATTTTTCATTTTCCAATGTCCTTTTTCTTCATAATTTTGGTATTTTTGACAAGTTTGCTTGGGATAACTAGGGATGGTTTGAAAACATTGTTTATTGCTGAGAATAAAATAATGTTGTCGACGGTTAATGGTTCTTTTTTTTCTTAATTTAAACAAAAAGTTAAGGTTATAATTGTTGGTCGATGTTTTTCTATAAAAAAAGAGACGGTCATAATGAAAAAGATGAAGATTGATAGATTGAAGGAGGTTCAATGGCTGTAAAAGCTTTTATATGGCTTTTAGAAACGCAAAATACGCCGTTAACAACTCCGGTGACTATGCAAGCAGCTGTTTCTTTTCTCAGTAGTGGCAATCCTTGAAGCCTAAACCCCTTTATCCTTATATAATTCTTTTGTAATGTACTGAAAAAGTACGTCGTTCACAACTCCGGCGACTATGCAAGCAGCTGTTTTTGAAATCTTGTCATCAACAAGATCATGTCCCATGACATATATATATATATATATATGTTGAGATGTCCTAGATAAAACTACTTTATTTAACTCAATTTGTTTTCTTCCATATTAAGCTATAACAATGGGAGATTGCCGATTCAATCACTCTGGAGAAACAACAACAACCTGTTTGCCCACATTGCGACCACTAAACAGACCTATCAAAGCAGCAGGTCCGTTCTCCAAGCCTTCAACAATGTCTTCCACATACTTAATCTTCCCTTCTCTTATGCAAGGCAATATAAAGTCCAAGAACTTCGAATACTGCGGATAGTACTCGGATGCTGCAAAACCTTGGACTTTGACTTTCTTGTAGAGGATCTCCATTAGATTATGTACCCCTTCCGGTTGAGCAAGATTATATTGCGATATCAACCCGCACACAGCGATGCGGCCATGGATTCTCATGTTGAGAAGCACGGCATCGAGCATTTTGCCCCCAACGTTTTCAAAGTATATATCAATGCCTTGGGGAAAACACCTGGAGATCGGTGGACGGATTAGTATATATACTATACATCTTTGTTAGATACCATGACTGACCTTTTCAAAGCTGCATTAAGACCAGGTTCTTCCTTATAATTGAAAGCATCGTCAAACCCAAATTTGTTCTTCAACAATTCAACCTTGGTTATAAGAAATAGCATGAGGTTAATAGAGATGAGTTTAAAGCCGTAAATCCAAAACAATTCATGTAGTTTCTTGAGCCATAATTGTGTTTAAAATAGGCATAATGATAAAAAAATTACTTTATATTTGACTAAATAATTACTTTGGCTCATATTCTTTTTTCAAACATTTTAGCCTCCTAACTTTTTAAATTGGGACAAAATGATCCTAATTCTATGGAAAGCGTTAGTTAACTAATGGTCACTGCTCTTTGTTAACGTGGCAAGACCTATGTGTCTAAAGTGCTAATGTGACACGTCACGTGCACTGGCAGATCCAGAAATTTAAAATTGGGGATCCAAAAATTTTAATAGTCTTCTTTTCAATATAATGGGTATGAATTTTTTTTTATTTTTTTCTTCTTCTTTTAATATATTAAACTATATTGAATATCTAATCTAAAATAATAGGTGTGCATTTGGCCCCCTATGTGGCCATATGCATCTGCCCCTAGTCACGTGTACATGAGTGATGACATGACATGTGTCATGTATTCAAAGTGATGCCATGACATGTGTCATGTGTTCAAAGTATAACGTGACAAATGCTACATGTACATAAGCAATAACATAGTATGTGCCACATGTTCAAAGTGATAACGTGAAAAATGCTACATGTGCATAAGCACTAACATAATATGTGCCACATGTTCAAAGTGATAACGTGGCATGTGTCTCGTCATCACTTTGGACAATTAGGCCTTGCCACATCAGTGAAGAGCGTAGTCAATTAACGATTTCCATCCAACCAAGGGTCACTTTATTATAAAATGAAATGTTTGGGGCTAAAATAACTATTTAATAAAACGTTAGGGGCATTGTTTGTCATTGTACCTCTAAAATATTATATATTTTTAGGTTTATTCATAGCATGTTCAGTGAATGTACCACATGTCTGTCAGTGCAATTAGATAGCTCAAACTACACATAAAGCATGAGAAGCTAAGATAAAAAAAATGTGTGGATGTAACCTTTTCTTGAGTCCCTGCACTGCCAACAACATAGCAACCCATGAGCTTTGCAAATTGGCCAACAAACTGTCCAACAGCACCGGATGCAGCCGATACAAACACATATTCCCCTTTCTTCGGACTACAAACCTCATAGAAGCCGGCATAAGCAGTCACACCAGGCATACCTGTGTTATAATCAATGAAATATCATATGATTTAGAAGAAGAAAACTTCAATATCACATATGATGAAAATACAAAGGGATGGCTAAATTTTAAGTCTTTACCAAGAATTCCAGTATAGTATGAAAGGGGTACATCAGTGTGTTGAATTTTGAAGAGTAATCTGTCTAGTTTCAGCAGAGAATACTGTTCCCAACCTGTTATGCCCCATACCAAGTCGCCTGCTCTGAACTCTGGATTACCTGAATCCATTACTTTACCCACTCCGAACCCAGTTATTGGCTGCAACAAATAATCCCAAAAAATGGTTTAAAAAACTGGGGAATGTCTCAGGAAAGGCGGGTTAATATACGGCTAATATACAGCATTACCGGATACATTAAAATGTATTTAATAAATTCGGTTTAGCGGTACCTATTATGTTGACAACTAATAATGTTTTAGGTAGAAAATATGAAAAACTATTAAAAAATTTGGTAACCGGTAAACTTTGGTTATCGGTAAGTATCTATCCTTTTTATAAAAGTGTCCATACTTTTAACATATCAAGTAAATTTTACCGGTTTTGTCATAATGAATCTGGTTTTGTCATATTTTTACCTGTTATATTGTAAATTATCTATCCTTTTTATAAAAGTGTCCATACTTATTTCACTGTGAAAATATATTTATTATTATCTTTAGTTAATATTGTTAAATTTAAAATCTAAATAATATTTTATAAAATATCAAAACAATCAAATAATTTTTTGTGTAAATGAAATTATTAAATTAATATTGTAGGTGGAAAACATGAAACACTATTAAAAAAATTGAAACATAAATTACATAACTTTCAAAAAAGTATATATCATTTTTATAAAAGTGTCCATACTTATTTCACTGTTGAAAACATATTTATTATTATATTTGGTTAATATTGTTAAATTTAAATTCTAAATAATATTTTATAAAATATCAAAACAATCAAATAAAATTTTGTGTAAATTAAATTATTAAATTAATATTGTAGGTGGAAAACATAAAACACTATTAAATAAATTGAAACATAAATTACATAACTTTAAAAGCAGTTTTAAATCCTAAAAAGTGTCGATACTTTTAAGAAATATATCGATCCAAAACGATATACCAGGTAAAAATATGATAAAACCGGTAACAAAATGATAAAACCGGTAAAATTAAAAGTGTCGATACGTTATATAAGGATCGACACTTTGTGAATTTAAAAGAGAAGCAGTTATAGCGCCTATAATGTGTCGATACTTTAAAAAAAATATCGATCCACAACGATATAACAGGTAAAAATATGATAAAACCGGTATCAAAATGATAAAAACGGTAAAATGATACCGGATATATTGAAAGTGTCGATACTTTCGTAAGTACGTGTAATAAATTATCGACACTTTCAAAGAAATAGGTAATTATCCTTTCGAAAGTATCGACACCTGACATAAAAGTATCGACACTTTTGTATTTGTATCGATTAAATATAAATAACATATCCGATGAAAATATAAGCTAAATATCCTCTGAAAATAGATAGAACGGACGAGTTTTGGAAATCGAAGAGTAATTGTTGCTGCATTTCAGAAGGCGTTTCTAAAGCGAAGTTTGTTTGTTTGTTGCTGCAGTCGAATCGAAAAGTATGTTGTCGAAACCCTAATTTTTTATTATTACAGTAATCGCGATAGGGTTTTTTATGTGTTGTTTGGGGTTTTGGAGTAAGGAAGCATTTGGGACCGATTGCAGGTAGAAATAGATATTCAAGGAAAACGATAAATGTCGATACTTTTATTAAATATTATAGGTAGAAAATGATATTATAGGTTGTATAAATGTGCCGACACATTTTGGTGTGGCCATTCAAATTTTTTTGAAGAAAACCGTTTTACCACAAGAGTAGTTATCTATATTTGTATATTGAAAAGTGTATGTAACAAAATAATTTGATTTGCGTAAACTGATATATGAAGGAAAAATGGAGTCAATGGGTTGGAAAATTGTTGGTGGAGCAGATGACTTTGAAATTGAGGCCGAGACTCGAAAGCAACCAAAGGGTGGATATATGTACTTCTAGTAAGTATCAATGTCTTTTTGTTATTATTGTTGAAATGGTAATTGGATTAAAGTATCGATAAACTTTAAATTGATTACAAATTTTAAATGTTAACAGTATGGTCGAATGCAAAAGGATGAAGGGAGATGGCACACAGAGCGGTTCGGTATGTAAAATGAAATTGACATTGAGTAGTATTAGTATTTAGTGTTAATGTATTGATTAAGAAACGTTTATGTTTAATATTAGGTGAAAAAGATGTGAGGTCCAAATGGAATTCAATGAGTGATGCTGAAAAGGAACCTTACATCACACAGTCAAGGAATGATAGTAAAGAATACAAAGAACGGAGGAAAGCACATGAAAATAAGGTATTCATTAAACTTGTAAATACGTTGATACAAATATATAAGAACTATAACATTATATATTGTTAAAAAATGTAGGAAGTTTCGACAAGATGCAGCATTAAAAGGGTGAATTTATTAATTAAACACCTTAAGGAGAAGGGTCAGTTGAATGTGCTGGGAGAAATAGGTTTTGGATCGTTGATCGGAGTAAGGGATCGACCTATTCGGAGGGAATTGTGTCGATCCTTGATGGCACAATTTGACGTCAGTCAATGTATGGCTAAGTATGGTGATTATTCATTCCCTCTGGGGTATCGACTGCTGCAGCCGTATTGGGGGTACAAAACAAAGGCAAAAGTGTTATAGAAGTCTGTAGGAGTAAGAACTGGAAAGCACTTGCCTCCAAATATGGTTTGAATCATAAGGTGACATATACTGAAGTTGAAGAGGATATCAAAAGTGGATCTTACTTGGGGGATGAGCTGAAGGCCCGAGTTCTATTGTACCTTGTCGGTATATTTCTTTGTCCAACGGGTGATACGTCAACGAACAAGGAATATATGAAGCTCATTTGCGATGAAGGCTTGAAGGGTGAATTCAATTGGGCTGAATATATCCATTCGAGATTGATTGAATCAATTATCACCTTTAAAAAGGGCAGCCAGAGATACCTCAAAGGGTGCATAGCAATCTTAGAGGTAAATGAGTTGAATCACTTTTTTGTGTTTTTATATAAAAATTCTAATTTTATTATAAATGCAGGTTGCACTGTTCGATTTTTGGTCGGGCTGTGAGGCAGTGCCGGCTTATGAAAGAACCGGAGTGGCACGCATCCGTGCATGGGGGAAGGAAGAGGTGGTTAGAGTGATGGTGAAGTTGAAGTTGGATAGAGGGAAGAAGCAAGAAATGGTAATAAATGTAATTAAATAATATTAAGAATATAATCAATGTCTTAATATTGTAATTTAATTTTTTGAAGGTTATTGGCATGATGTAGAGGAGGCAGTGGAGGCAGAGGAGAAGAAAGGAGGGATGGTTGTATTGGGGGATGAAGGTGAGTGGGACGACGGTGAAGCAAAACAGAGTAACTTCGACATTTTGATGTCTGAATTGGCTGATATCAAAAAAATCCAATTTGAAATCATGCAAAGACAATCAAGAGTCGAAGAGAAACTTGATCAAGTCGTAGAGAAACTCGAGAGGCATAAGGGGGTAGTGGAAGGAAAAATAGATGGAGTGGTGAAAGAAGTAGAGGTGTTGAGGGGTGAAGTGGTGAAAGAAGTTTCGGTGTTAAGGGGTGATATTAAGATGGTGACGGGAGAAAAATTTGAGGGAGTGGTGAAGGAGGTTGTTGATTTGAGGAGTGAACTTACGGGGTGAAGGGGGTGGTTGATAAATACTCGGATGAAGGAGCTCAATTGAAGGGTGAAATAAAAGATATGAAGAGCTATGTAGAAAAAAGTACGATGAACTGAAAAAATATGAAGAAGAAAGAGGGAGGAGAAGAAGAAGAGATGGAAGAAATGAGGAGGAAGGAGAGGCCCAATGTGCTTTATACACCGGAGAGTGTCATAGCAGCAGTTTTGGATTCGGAATGTCCTGCACCCCAGAAGAAGAAGCAGAAGGTAAGTTTAATAAAAGAATACTTAATTTGATTTTTATTATGTTGTTGTGACAAAAATTTGTATGCAAAATTGTAGGTTGAAAAAGCGGACATTCCAACTGGAATTGATGACATCGAAGCTGCAATTTGTGATTATTTATGGAATAGCGAGTTAGAATCGGGGTAAGTGAAATATATTGTTTTGTGAGTGATATTTAAATATTTCATGACAAGATATTAATCCTAATGATTCATACAGATATTCTGTAATATCAATGGGAAATCAATTCGCTACTGTATACGACGTTGCAACGTTGAAGCCTACAGAATGGGTTGGCGGTGTGGTAAGTAGAAAGTAGAAAATAAATAAAACTTATTGAATATGTTCTGATTGTGTAATTAATTTTGTTAGGTTATCGATTTGCTCGCCTGGACCATATGCTACGATTCTCAAAAGTCACACCGGAGGATTGGCTACCTTCCATACCTCTTAGTGGTGAGTTAAATTAATAAATATTGAAAAGTAGTGTTATAGACGGTAAATTAATAATGTTTGTTGCGTAATTACAGCAACAGGCGTTGGAAGCCAACAATAAAGAAAGTGTTGAGAATATTTCTACCTTCTGGGGTGTCATATTGGATAACTATGTGAAATTCACGGACTGTGAGAAGGTAAGACACCATACCAATTGCAAATGATGTTTTCGGATATAGAATGTTGAATTTTGTCAAATTGGGTGTGAAATTTGTTGCAGATAATGATCACAATAAACTACCATAATTCACACTGGTATCTGTTGGTGTTGGATATGGTAGATCATGTTGTAACAATATATGATAGTATGTTTACAACTGAAGCATCTAAACAGAGAGTGAAGGATGCTAAGAGATTGGTATGTATGTATGTATGAAAGGACATTATGTAAATTATAATGCATAATTTTTTTGGTGCATAACTTCTTCTATTTTAATGCAGATTAAAATATTAGATTCTTATAATAAGAAACGCATTTGGGTTGAGTCATGTGGATCTCTAGGAAAGTATCCCTTGAAAAACTTCAAATTTGTGGAGCATAAGAAGAATAAGCAATTGAATGGGTATGAGATGTTATCACAAATAGAAAGCTTAATTTATGCAGTATTCATCATAATTGACATGTGTGGTTTTCAAATTTTGTAACAGATATGATTGCGGCATGTATGTGATGATGTGGATGGAATCGATCGGTTCTACAGGGGCAACTGGTGATTTTGTAAGTGGATAGAA